ATGGACTGACGTTTGAGCCTGGAGAGTGGAAAACGCCGAGCGACATGACTGTCCAGCGCGTGGCCAAGCCGATCCGTATGAGAGTTCGCCGCACTTGTCATCGATGCGAAACTACCTTTGGGCCCGACAAAGTGTGTGTTAATTGCCAACATATTCGTTGCACCAAGTGTCCGCGCCACACTTCCACCGAACCCAATGATCAGGCGCAAAACGCTCTCGAGACTATCCGCGCAGCGCAAGGACATGGGCCACCTCGACGCATGAGCAAGGAATCACAACTCACCATTCCTTCTCGCACTGGTGGCCAAGACCTCATCCGCAAGCCGATTCTGCAGAGAGTCCGGCGCACTTGTCATCGGTGTAATACTATGTTTCCTAACAAAGACGTGACGGAATGCCCTACTTGCAGCCACATACGATGCAAGAAATGCCCTCGAGAACCGTATGCGAGACCAGTTCAACTATTTGTCCTTGACAAGCTGCTGATGAAGTCTAGGTCCAAACCGCATAAATATCCGGATGGCTATCCTGGAGACGCAGAACCTCCGCCAGAACCGCCAGCACGAACCTGGAAGAAACCACGACAGAGGGTGCGCTACACTTGTCACAAATGTTCTACGCTGTATGGATCTCGGGAGACGACCTGCTCGAATTGCGGTCAGGAGAAGGGACCGGAAACTATACGAGATCCGTAGGTTCATGATTTTCTGATCTCCTAAAAATTGACTCTGACCACTTGATCAGGCCGAAAAAGCATAAGCCGGAACCAGATTTAGAGGTCTTAAGGCGCGTTGAGGAACGACTAGCAAACATGAGCACTACCAAGTAACTGCGATCGCTTTGCGTTTTTTCGACTTATCTATCAGCGACTGGCGATATGGACTTCGTGCATTTATCATTACCACATCACAACAGACTTCGTCTGACGAATCGGGGCTCTTAAGGGAATGTTTCCCTCACACTAGCTTCTTGTTGAATCCATCTACAATTCTTCACCATTATTGAAGACGTGATACGATCCCTTGCATTTTCCCTTACGACTTCAACACTGGATATAGAAGTGTAGTTGATGGGCATTTTTAGGCCCGCCCACCCTAGAGACCGTATCAACAAGAATAGACCCTCTAGTAATAAAATGACAAGTTACCTACCAGCAGACACCATTCGTCGTCCAATCCTTACTGTACTGGGATGGATTATCGCTCAAGAAAGTGATAGAGTTTCAGGGTCGGTGACTATCCGCTGTCACTGTTAGGGAGAGCCTCGGGCCAGCCCGTCTTAATGACTACTCCCCAGGCTTTGAACCCAAAAGCCGCCTGTCATGGACTGGTCTGTGCTGACTGTGGATATCATCGATACCATTGCTAATACCAGTAGCATAAAACCGCAAATTGAGTTATGATTGATCAGAGTCAATGGCCTAAACGCCCGTCGTAGTACGCTGGTAAGTGCTATGGACCCGACGGAACGATGGATCTTGATTCCGAATAGCCAGAATGATTTTCAGACGTCCAGCGGCCCACTTGAGTCTGTAGCTGGCAGGTGGAATATCAATAACGGCCAGAGAGTGGGTTCTACGGATACCTTTCTAGATATTGAACTATGAGAGCACGCAGTTGGCTTGACAGTACTACGGACTGTGTATGTAGGAGGGGCAGGGCATATTGAAAGTATCCTCATTTATCCTCTGTATCTCCCGCTTCCAACCTGACCTATGTCTTTTTTTAACCCACGTAATAATAGCTAATATTAACACATATTTGACACCCAACGTTGCGTACKAAAGCAGCACTATAACAAAGTTCACAAGAGTAGGTAGTGTCCCACGTCAAAACCAGGAAATGCAGCACTCGGGCCATGTCATGCAATCGCTGGCCGGATCTCACCGGGTTTATTGGTTGTGACTAGATGATGAGAATCCACTACTTTGATTTAGGCATATTCAGGCCGTGGGTGCTACCATTCCAGCCTTCTTTGAGTTAGTTCCTCCGTTGAGGCGTCCATTGAGTTTCATGCTTTGGGTGATGGAATGACGGATTCCGGGAGTCTGTCGGGGCCGGAGAATAACTACCTATTATTGGATTCTGTATTTTTCTTGGAGTACTCCGTATGGATCGTATTATGAACGGTATCTTGGGAATGTAGTCCTACTTACTAGAGTCTGGACCATCAAGTTCGTTCCAGAGTTGTATATACGTAACCAGGACCGCACTTTTCCAACCAATTGACCTGCCATAGAACCGACGTGTTCCTCATCAGTAGCATTGTCTATCACGAAAATCCTGCTGTCATTGAGTCAATCCTTGCCGTAAGAGTTGAGTCAAGTCCCAACGCTAAGGGAGTGATTTACGTGCCAAGAAAACTATTTGAAGAACGGACATGGACGGAGTTTCCGTACAGCCAGTCCGATCCTCATTTTGGGGCATTTTAACTTTCGAGCTCTCAAATAGGGGACGTTGGAACCGAGGTTGCGATTGTAATGTAGCACAATCGGACCCCTTTCGAATGATCTGCTGATATGGATCGACTGCGGTAGTGGTAGCTACATCTGTCAAAGCCCTTTTGTTATCTATCACAAAGCCGGCATTTGCCCATGTGCTTATGCGAGCTCCCCAGATCTGCTGAATCTGAGATCATAAATGATCATGATCCTCGCGAGTTAGCTAGTCTGACACGTCAATCTCATAGCTGCGTTCGATGCCTCACATTTCCTGAGATAAGCTCCAAACCGTTGGAACTAGTCCGGCTCAAGTTTAGAAGATGTGATAGCTCACATTGGACTGATTAGATCCCGGGATTTAGGGAAGCAACAGCAAGTCTGGCAAAGCTAGCTTTTGAGCGTCCAAGCTCGGGCCTCCGGTCAAAACCTGATTCATTTTAATAGGCGTTTATATCCGTGTCCTGCCCCTTACCCCTCGACGTCAAGCGGTCAAGGTTCGCTGGGTGCCAACGACTAAGTCTAGATACATTTCACAGGAGCTGTAAGCTTACTCTATTGGACTGAGCTCCTCTTTGGCTGGAGGTGTGGCTTTAGCCTGCGAGCCGTTGTTACATGAGGACCATATAGAGTCCTTGGACATGCTTAGGTAAATATCCCATATCCTTATTTTGGAAGCGTCCTTCAAGTGGAACAAGCTGGCATCATATGATATAACTGAACTCAGAGGCTCAGACCAAACTGACTATAGATATTCCATCCTCTACCATTACTAGTAAGTAAGCTTGATACCCGAAAGAAAGAACTTAGCTCAAAGTCCGAGTACTGAGTTGATAATTACAACTTTTGACCTTATCTGTACCATGGCTGTATTTGCACTTTATCCACCCTGGCGGCTCGGTCCGCTTGCCCCGCTCAGTTGTACCAAAATTCTTTTTCAGTACGAGCAGCCTTAAAAGAAATACAAGAGGTGTATATTTTACGCAGATTTTCATCAATATACGCTTTCCCCTTCTTCATATCCATTCAACTTGAACTGTGGCATTCTCTCTGCTACATATATTGTGCCGCCACAAGAGAAACAGTTGAACTTTTTCTTGGATCTTCACTTACCCGAAAGCAAGAATTCAACATCTACAGGCAAGCATCATAAGAGCGCTTCATCTTCATTAGCAAAGACAATATCCCACCCATAGTTCGGAACAACACAGTATGCTGCTCCCCCGACCAGCTGCGCTGTACGGCCTTCTTCACTGAGTAAAGGATTGGCCTGTAGGTATAAGGACCATGGGGCGCTCTCCCGCACGCGTAAGCTATATTCGTGCAATTTCCCCTGTACAAAATTGCTCTTGATTGCCACTTGCCACAACGCAGTGTGGTACCTTGAGACGCCGTCGCCTTTTCAGGTGGCGCGCGGAGGATGTAGAGGATCCACGAGAAGGTCAGAGCCATTGAGTTAGGCTTAAAGAACTAAGAGTCATGACATATTATGCTGGCCGTGTCTTACCATCTGTCCTGTTCTGGAGGAACGTCAGGGAATTGACAGGGCTCTGACCATGATTTATGATCGAAGAAATTGCTGATACTGTCAGGAGACTCACGCCTGCGGATAGTGTTTCCAGACATTTGACTTGTACTGTGGAGAGCTGGTGTCATATAGTCAAGCTGATTTTATGTCATGAAGTCAACGGTAGTGGTCAGACAATGGGCAAAGTACTAATCCTCTCTTTACAAGAGACCTCCAACATTGCCACAATTATGGCCCAATGCTCTCTGCATAGAGAGCGCGTTGTCAGGTCATTCATTCAGAGATGGGATTACTTAGAGCATAACCCAGCTACATTACTGCGCATCCTTCAACTGCCATCAACAGCAGAGGGCTAACCGCTTACCCCTCATCCAGCATCATATTGTCCTCATCCGCTCTTCTTCTCTCAACTTTCCGCCTGCTGCATCCCAGCACAGTGGGAACAAATAGGATCGAACCCGCTAAATGTAGCGTTTCGGTGTTTCACGCACTACTGCCGGTCTAAGATGCTAGCGGTCTTAGTAGCCTCCACGACTAGTTCTGCACCAACCCTTTTCTGGACGGAAAGAATCTTCATGTGGCGAAGTACAGCCTGTTGCTCTGCGTATGACCAGACGACTCGGAGACTTAACTTTGGGCCGGAGAGTTATTTGGTAGGTTGATGGACCGTTGTTCAACGCAATTGTCCTGGTTGCTGGGATTGCTGTTGCCACTACGGAGTACACCGTGCATGCAGAAAGGCTAATTAATGGACATTAACATACATTTGTTCCGAGTCAAGTAAATGTACGAAAGTGGAGTTGGGTCTCGAGAAATCCAGACGGTAACAGTGGTATTCTTACGATGCTTGCAGCAACCTAAGCAAACAGAAGTACCATTCCTTCAAGATAAGGTAGTTTGGGTATCAACACCATGTTCCGAACACTGGGCGCAGTCGTTGTTACCTTCTTCATTCGAAGGCTGGTGATCTCGTAAACGTTTTGCATGACGCGCTAATCTTCCAACGCTTCTCCAGACAGCAAAAGTCCCCTGCGGTCAACTCTCCCCTCCTATCACCTTCCTTCGCTTTCCCAAGTAGCCTTCGGTTTCTGATGCATACTTGCGTTTTTCGTCGCACCTGCAAATAAGACAGTCGATGTAGAAGGCATTTTGGGAAAAGTACCCTAGTGCCTCATACGCGGGGTTGGGTCCGACAAAGGTGGTGGTGTCCCAGTAGAAGCATTCGTCGCAAAATGCCCTCACGCATCGCCTGCAGCAAAACAGGAGGCGTCCAGCTTCAGATGCATTCTTGTGGCATTTCCAGCAATAATGATGAGGGCAAATTGAAGTTCCCGAACTCGGATGTTCTTCTTCGATCACGCTCTCAAGGCAAGCAGTGTGAAAAGCACGAGGGCATATGTCACAGTCATCCGCATTGGACTGATGGCATAGGAAGCACGTCTGAGATTTATTAGCATGCGATGTTCCTCGATTCGGATCGCTACTCACTAATTGATGGGTAAAAGTGTTCCTGGGTGAGGCACACTCCTCAGTAGTGGACGCCGGCTCCTCGACCGAGCGACTCAGGCTTTCCTTGCTCACTGCATAGCCGTCAATCATGACCGTCCTCTCCTTACCAATGCGACGATTAGAGCGGAGCAGATTGGTGCTTTCTTCTCCAGCATATACCGTATGATGGCGTCCGCTTGTATCAATTGTCACCCCATTGAACAGGTTTGTCCTGACTCTGTCGGCCTTCTCAAGCCAGAGTTGTTCTTGTTCAACGCTAAGATTTCCGGAGAGCCCTCCGCCTCTTTGGGTACTTGCACACTTGTCCAGAATAGCGTTCATGTCCCACTGTGCCATTTCGTCTGTATCAATTGGTTTCTGAGACAAGAAAGCCTGATCCACGAAGACGGGCGAAGGCAAGCTATATGTATCCGTCGAGTTCTGAGACATGCTCACCTGTTCAGTACCGAGCATGTCAAGGTAATTATTTCCGGGGCAATGAGTGTGTAGGTTATCGGTCACTCTATCTGCGATATAGGCTTTCTTGACTAGCCGACGGCTCATCTGCTCTTCGACTGTGCCTGTGGAACGGAGTTTATAAATTACGACCGGCCGGGTTTGTCCAATTCGATGCACTCGTGCTTCGGCCTGTCGCATCACTTGAGGGTTCCAATCCTCATCCAAGAACACGATCACAGAGGAGCTCGTCAAATTCAATCCTTCCCCGCCCGCTCTAATCGAAACCAGGAAAACCTTGTATCTCGGATCGTTCTGGAAAAGGTGCACCATGACCTTGCGCCATGGCCCAGTGGTTCTTCCATCGAGCCGTGCGTATTCGAAGGCTCGGTTGCTGCCTTGCAGCATCATGACCAGGTCCTCGCATAGGTTGAGAGCCTGGTCAAAGTTCGAGAACACAATGACTTTCGTCTCGGTCGCCACGTAATGTTTGACGAGCTTCTTGAGGACTAAGAATTTGCCGGATTGATTTATAAGATGTTCTCCCAGTTCATACKGGTTGGGAATCGCGTCTGCAAAGAGATAAGGATGAATGGAGCACTGCCCAATATCAGTAATGCGCAAATGGTAGGGGAACTCGCGGACTGACTTTTCTCAGCTCCATGAGAATATTGCCAGTGATACGGTACTTTCCAGGCCCAGGCGTCTTTGCAGAACACTCGGACATTGAATTGACTGCCTTAGAACATGTTTTTTCGACCGCTGGTTGTTCAGACAAGGAGCCATCTGATTGAATGTGCGAGGTAGATGCATCTAAGGGCAACTGCCAGATTTCTGCACCTGTAAGAATTCTCAAATACAATAAACGCTGTGCAGGCGATAAAGGCACCGAAAGGACGGTTTCCGTTTTTGGCGGGATATCCAATCCAACTCCGGGCGAATCCTTGGTTCTTCGGATCATGATCAGCCTTAGGAAATCTTTGACAGATTCGAGAAATGCAGGGTCGAATTTTCCGTCGGTAAGGGAGAAAGCCTCCTGGAAGAGCTTCTCAGTGGCTGGCACAAAGACCTCAGGGTAAAGCCAATGGAAAATCGACCACAGTTCACTGAAGTCATTTTGTATTGGGGTACTGTAAACGCGATCAGACGATCAGATCAGCAGCATTCAGTTCTAGAAAGAGCTGCAACTTACCCGGAGAGCACGAGCTTCATTTCTGCTTTGATGCGGTTAAGGACCAACGCTCTCTTCGAACGACTGTTTTTAATCCTGTGGCCCTCGTCGAGGACGACGCCTCGCCAAACGAAGACCCGGGAGAACCAATTGATTTCTGAAATCAGTGTCTCGTAGGTTGTAAGCACAATGTCCACAATGTGGGTTGAACCTTTGAAAATACTGGGCTTTTTCTGGGCACTTATCATCCTCTTCACGGCGTCTCGTTGCTCGAATGTCCCATGGTATTTCACAGCTCGAAGGTCGGGGGTCCACTTCTCGATCTCTGTTAACCACGTTTCTAGGATACTTAGGGGACACACGACGAGAAAGGGCACATTTCTATTTGAAAATGCACCATCGCGTTCTTTCAAATGTTGAAAGAGGCTCAAGGTCTGAAGCGTCTTGCCTAAACCCATCTCGTCCGCAAGAATACCACCGACGCCGTTGCGGCACAGGTATACCAAGAAAGACAGGCCCTCAAGCTGGTACGGCTTTAACTTTGCTCTGAGACTGTCCGAATGTTAGCCCGAAAACGAAGACGGGAGCTGATATACTCAACTTACCCTCTGGGCTGAGCACTAAGACTTTCATATTCGAGTATCTTAGCAGGTGCGGAAATGTTTCTGTTGGTCAGCTTTTCAAACGGCTTTGCGCTGCCAAGGAGAGGGCGTATGATGTCCATGTGCGAGAACAGAAATGTGATCCGCCTCGTTCGGATGTCCTGAAGAATGTCCTGTGTTCTACTGGATGCGCATTTGTTAAGCTGGGGTACTGCTGACCAGGGGGTGCCGAAGTCTCGCGAACAGCCCTGTTGCTCTGCCTTCTCCAGGCTCTCTCGATCTAGCGAAGCATGGATTGCAGTGTCAGAGGTACATCGAGTCTCTGCGGCGTCATTTTCACCAATGATTTCCGACCCTTCGGAATAGTTGGGAGATGTCGGCGGCGAGATACTCCATGATCGAGGTGTGCTCAATGCGGAAGACAAAGACCCAGACTCTGAGCTTCGACTGGTATATGGCGCTTGAGAGACGTTATTGCCCATGTTGAATTGCATCTTCGTATGCTACGAGGGAGATCAAGGGTAGATGATGGGACCTTGTATGTGAGTAGGTTGAGAAACCGAGGATAGCCATGAGGTGGAAGAACTGGCAGAGGGCTTCTAAATGGTATGGAGTATAGAAAGAATTATGCTTCACCGTTTGAGATCTTCTGAAACGAATGTGAGCAATAATCATACTGAGTGTTACTCTCCAGGAGATAAAAGAACTACCGTTCTTAGGGCATGCCTCACTTGTCACTTTGACTTCGGCTGACTAGTGAATCAAGAGTATGAAACTCTGGGGTAGTGTTCTGTGGGGGAGTGATCTGAAACAGAAGTTTTGCATTTCTCAGTGAATGTGCTAGATCTGTAGTCATCAAGGGGGGGTCGTGTGAGAGCTTTGAGGCTGCCTTCAATGTGTTGTTGAAAATGAAGTCTGGGTTGCATGATTTTCATTCAAGGCTGAGAAGCCTAGACGTTTTAGCACCATTTCATGCTATGTTCACGACCAGTTTTGTACGCTCAGAAATTGTGTATGGATCCTAGGACCATCCACGTTAGTATGCTTGTAGATGAAGTCATCCATGTATCTTTTTTAGTGATATGAGGTGGTTTGAAAAGCACGTAGAACAAACCTTCATGCACCCTCACTATTATACTGTGCATTCTCGTCATAAATTCACAGAACGAACGCCATTACACCTTAATCCTCCGACTCAATTGCTCCGTCCCTGCGGACTTCTCAAAGTCAATCTCCCCCAAATTGGCCCTCTTCCCCAACGCGCGACGGATGATCCAATCCTTGCTATTGACTTCTTCCTCAACATCCCCGTCTCTCAGCTCAGGAATCCGATCCGACCCTTCCAACCGCTTGAGGACTACATCGTCCTCCGGCCGCGAGAAGTAGACAAGACTATACCGGGTCCAATCAGCCTGCTGGCCCGGTGGCGCCGCCACGCGGTGGATGTTCGATCGGAACAGCCCATTCGTGAACTTGACCATTGCGTCTCCCAGGTTGACGATCGCGTGGCCTGGGAGAGGCCGCACGTAGACCCATTGCGCGTCTGCGCCGGGTGGGAGAACCTGCAGCCCGCCGAGCCGGTTGAAGAGGATCGTGATGCTTCCGAAGTCGGTGTGTTCACCTAGTGCGGTGCGTCTGTCGTCGGCAGGTTGGGGTGGAGCTTTGATGAAGCGGACTTGGTCGCCGCTGAGGGCTTTGAGACGGTGGAGGTCTGGTAGAGTCGAGGGCGGGAGGCCTAGGCTGTCGTTCAAAAGGGTGAGGATCAGCGTGACGATTGAGTGGGAGGCGCGGATGAATGACTCGAGGGTTGGGCGAGCTTGGTGGAGGATTGCGGGGGCTGGGAGCTGTGGTGTGATGCCTAGGATGTCGTTCTTCGAGACCTGGGTCGACTTGTGAGCTGACGTTCATGTGCATCGGGACTGCTGAGGACAGACATTGTAGAATTCGTTCCGGTCAAGATTCCCTTGACGATCAACGACCGCTGCACCCTGTGCTTTATAGCCATGGTAGGAGTTCTGGTTGCTAAAGTCATATGGTAGTTTCTCCTCCAGCCTGAGATTTAACAGGTTCTCGCCTGTCTGGAACAGCTTGTCTGCATCATTGAGGATGCCACGGCCCTCTTCGGAGCCTTCGAGGTCGAGGTAGAAAAACCCTATATCTTCACATGCTTGCATCAGCCTCTGGACCTCGTTCGCGTCACGCGCAAGCAGCTTCTGGAGAGATAGACGCAGTAGGGGAGCGGTTGGTATGTCACTTGGAAAAGGTGGCAACCCGAGGAAATCGTTCGTATAGACAGCCATGTTGAAGTTGTTACAAATCAAAAATAGTTGCTGATGCTTGCAATAAGCTCTGGAGAGCGAAAGCCAATGAAGAACGACCTCCCTTTCATTCTTTATATCAGCATTCAAGTCAAGTGCCCTGTGGCCCCCATGCGGGGAAAAGAGCTGCAACCGAGGGCCAACAGAGTGCGGAGCTCACAGTCTGGACTGACAATATTGATTATGATTGGGATTTAGTTTGAGACCTTGACCTTTTAGAAGCTGAAAGGTTAGTCTGACCATCTTAGCCGAAAGATGATATAGAACTCGGCATTTGAAGTGCAGGCAGTCTTATCTCCTGCAGTGGCATCCCATGCACTTCGCATCAAAAATACGGCAGCAAAAGTGCTCTAGTAGTGAGATTGAACCTCAATGCAAGGCTCAGAGTGCTCGAGGAAAGGTTCCCTGGGAAATTTGACTTGACCTTTTCCGAATCTGAAGTTCACTGGCGATGGCTGTTGATGAGCAATATGTGAATAGTAATGTATGCCGCCATTAGGCAAAACCTTCATGTATTCTACATTTATATGCTGTTGCTATGGTACCTAAGGAGTCCAATATTGGCTGACCAAATCAACAAGGTCCAGTTGTAAGGTCTGCTGGTCTGAAGCAGAATCTCCATCTGTAACATATATCAGATCACGTGATTATGAGTTCTTCCCGATAGAGTTGAAATACTTCATCGTTCTCACCACATCCCATATTCCTCATTCAATTCTTCTAAGCTCAGGTCCGGTCATCGGAACGAGCTATATACTGCACAATGACAACACAGAAGCCTCACATCGCTCGCGAGCTTCTTGCGCGCGCCCACTCACCAGACACGGCAGAACAGCTCTTCACTGAGCGCATCAAACAAAAACCCCTCTACCTCAGACCGACCTCCCCCACACCCGCGGACAACCGAGAAAGACGTCGCCTGCATCGTATCCGCAAGAAAGAATACTTCTTGCGCAAGCAGAAACCAAAACCCCTCTCCGCGCGCGAAAAGCGCATCTCGGGTCTCTACGATCTTCCCAAGGAGGAATGCAAATATTCCATTTTCAAGGAGCTTCACAAATTATGGGTTGGCTATATGCAAGACATCCTGGATCTACGAGTCCGACAGGTTCCTATCACGCCACAGTCGCATGGGAGCAAGCTGGTTACTGCGGATTTTCATGGTGCTGAGGTTGAGGTTGTTCGGAGTCGGTGCTCGGGGCGGGTAGGTGTGAAGGGAATCGTGGCGAGGGACACAAAGTTCACCTTTATGATTGTCACGGAGAAGGATGAGGTGAAAAGTGAGTTTGCTTTCGCAGATCCCATTACACAGCTGGAGAAGTAAACCTTGAGCTAACCGCGCCATGAAGCTATTCCCAAAGAACAGACCATCTTTCGCTTCTATGTTCCTTTGCCGTCGGCAGATGATGAAGACACTGCTATGTCGGATGGTGATAAGGCCAAGAAGGAACTTACATTTGAGCTTCACGGCAGCCAATTCGAGAATCGGCCAGTCGATCGAGCTAACAAGAAATTCAAATGGCGAAATGTGGAATACATCTAGCAGTATCGAGTTTCAACTGCAAACCGTCGAAATTGACGATGCAGGCTTTTACTACCCATCCAGGAGCCGGTCTCATGACTGTCAGATGGCGGCGAAAGGGGACTGAATACGCTACCAGACAGTCGTCTGCCGGGACGGTCACTAACCGTCCACCTGGTCCCGACATCTGCTGCGAAAGATGGCGAGGGTGGGATCAGGGCTCGAGAGCTCATGTCCTGGGGAATTTGCACTCATAGTTGTTATGATCTGGGAGAATTGGACAACCGGTCTCTGTGTTTTCTCGTCGCCTATCGATGCAGTACCTATACACATTGTTGAGGCGCGCCAGAGCAAACTTCCCTCCTATTCCAATGCTATGCTATTTCCGCAGAATCGTGGGTCCAGTGCGATGTTCGCAGGCCCATCTGAATAGCACTACGTCTCAATCCTTAACTCTCGCGTGGTTTCTCAGATTCCCTCGTCAACCGCCTATATCTCTGAGATGTGAATATCCTTCATCCTATATTTCTTTTGGACTCAGTGAACGACTGAAATGTGCGCAAGGCATATAGTGGGAGCACCGTCTGCCTTGTTCTGGGTTGACGTCCATGCTACCGATCAGCGATTTTGACCCAGTTATGGCTTGCTGGCCCGATATTGCAGATTTCAATCTTCAGCATACCTGACCTGTTTTATCCAAAGTAACAGGATCCAGGTCAATTCGCTCTCAGAACTGAAGCGCTACCACGGAAAGGACTCCTGGATGTGGATAGCATGCGCGTGCCACTGGACCACAATATGTATGGGCCGCTCGCTCACGTGAGGTGAAACCTGGGTTGCAGTAAAAGCACCAACAATCCAGCTTCACATTCCCGCCCATTCAATGCTGAAGGTCCTCACATTACTGCCTGCTCCGTTGATCGAGTCTCCCTCTTTTTTTTCAGCCCCTCCTATCAGGAAGCCCTTCTTGACACCAGTCCCTAGTCGCCCGCCGACGATGATATCCATCAAATCAATCTCCTCATCCCATTCGGCCGACACGGTCAAAAAGTGGGAATGGAATCGCAGCGGGTCACCAGGATATGCAAGGTACTGGCAGCCGAATCGGAGACCTGGTGATAGATAATAGCCCTCCGAGTGTAGGTGAGCAAACAACGGGTACGATGATGGCACCTCTGGGAGCGGCAGGAGCTGCTTAGCAGGCAGATCAGAAGGTAGAAGATTCTCGGATGTGGCGGGAGTGACTCCCATGGCGTTTTCAGATTGGATTGCAATTGAGGTTCGTCGCGATGTCTGGGTGGAATCTGTCTGTTTATCATCACCCGCAAAGAACTCAGAGCTGGGCATGTCTTGCACGCCGTCGGCCGAGACCTCTCTTGGAGCAGATCTCTTTGCCTTAGCTGCCTTCTTCTCATCTAAATTCTTTAACGCTTCTTCCCTTCTCAGCTCCCTTCGGCTATTTTGAAGGCGCATTGCTTGGAGACCCTGGTTTTCTATATCCTGCAGGTACCTCTTCCGGTCGGCCTCCATGATAGATTTCATTCCATCCTTCTGGAGTTTTACCTCGTCTACAATGCATGCTACACCTTTCTCCACCAGAAGTCTGGCCTCTTCAGGCATCAGCTCTAGCGGCAAGCCCAGG